CAGAACACTCTACTAAGTGTTCACATACTTTGTATCTCGTATACCGAACTCATATATAAGTGTTTACTTACTTAGAGTATAACCTATAGTGTAGCTCTCAGCTAAGTGTGAACATAATTAGAGTGTCACCTGTACCATAATTCATACCTAAATATTTAAATACCTAGATTTCTCTGCTAAGTGTTGACATACTTTGTGTCACGTATACCAAACCCACAGATAAGTGCTTACACACATAGTTCCAACTATACCGTAACCTGCAGCTAAATGTTTACGGACTTAGACTATAATCCATAGTGTAAACTCTCAGCTAGGTGTGAACATAATTAGAGTGTCAACTATATCATAGCCTGTATCTAAATATTCATATACTTAGAGCATAGCCTAAGTAGGTAGCTCGCATACTTGGAGTTGTAGTTGCGGATTTGCACACAGGCGGCGCTGGACATTGTTCGTTATCCTTTGACTTGTAGCACTAATGAGGTTCAGTGGCAACATCCCGAGAGGCCAAGTAACCTTCTTTAGGATTGCACTGTTCACCCCCATGGCATGAAAAAGGAACTAGAAAAAGTGTTCTAAACAATTCCTGCTACACTTACTGTCTGATCATGGCCGGAGGACATCACATTAATGTCGTTGAAACAAAAAAGAAACTAGCACATCTCATCATAAGTACATGGAACATAAGAACTCTTCTCGACCAAGTTACACCTAGGAGATCTGAAAGAAGAACAGCCTTATCTTAGTTGGCAGAGAATTGGGTTATTACAACATCAAAATAGTAGCTCTCATCGAGACAGGACTAGCTGAGGAGGGTCAGATGAAAGAAATGACTACTGGAGTCGTCGTCCCAATGAAGAGCGCAGGGAAGCTAAAGTGGATCTTGCTTTAAAGTTTACTATTGTTTTCAAGCTTAAAAATCTTTCTAATGGAGTTAATGAAAATTTGATGGTAATACACTTATCGCCAGCTAAGAGGCGATATGCCACATTCACCACTTCATATGCACCCACAAAGAGAGGTCTTGATGAGTTTAAAGATACAACTCGTTATTCTGGGAGACTTAAAAGCTTGTGTAGGTATAGGCCATCAGTTTTGGAAGGGTGTCATGAGGAAACATGGAAAGTGACAACAATGGACTCCTGCTATTGAGGAAGAGCATCTAACATCAGTTCGCTATTACATATCTTCACTGAACAGACATCACGATTTTAAACAACCTAAGAAGCTGAACACAACCAAAATAAATGAACAATTCATTGCTGACCAGCTGGTGAATGAAATTAATAACCACCTTTACTCCATCAATTTATCATACAGGAAAAGTGGAGAGAAGGCCATATAAATGTTTACTTCATGTTTATAGATCTCGATAGGGCTTTTGACACCATTAGCAGGAAGGGTCTATGGAAACGTCTTACTAAAGTTCAATGTGCTGAAAAGTTCATTTCAAGTACGCCAATTTCATGATTTTATGAGACCAAGAGTAACTGAAGAAGAAGGTGTTTCTAGAACTTCTTCAGGTGACAAATGGTGTACGACAGGGCTCTTTGTTGGTGTCTGTCCTGTTGAGCACCCTCTTTGCTGCTGTACTACTGTACGCTTCTGAAAGACCTTGACATTGGCGTACTTATACCATTCAGAACTGACCGTAAGCTCTTCAACTTTCGACGACTCCAAGTCTTTGAAGAAATGGCGAAAGGCTTTCTGTTTGCTGATGATTATGCTCTGGCAGCCCACGCACAATAAGACCTACATATCATAACTAATCGTTTATCTAATGCATGTAAGCATTTTGGCCAAACAATCAGTCTCAAAAAAATGGTTGAAGTCATGTATTAACCAACTTTTTATACTACCCCAGTTATCGAAATCGATGGCCAAGTGTTGAAAGCTGTCGACACGTTCATCTACCTAAGTAGAACTTTATCCTGATTGCCTTCCCAGATGTGGAGGTGAACCTGAGGATAGTTAAGGCTACTGCTGTTTTCAGAAGCCTACGCCAGAAGGTCTGCAATAAGAAAAGGATCAGACTTTCCACAATACAGAAGGTGTATGTTGCTGCAGTTTTGATATCTTTACTCTATTCCTGTGTAACTTGTACGACCCATGCCCGATATATTAAAAAATATAACCACCTTTAATTAAGTTACCTTAAAAAATTATGAAAAGATATTGGCAAGATAAGATAGCTGACATAGAAGTACTGTTAAGAGTTAAACTTCCAGACAATGGTTATGAAGGCACAAGTGAGATGGACCAATCATGTTCTATGAATGCCTGAGAGCAGACTGCCAAAAAAGCTGTTTTATTCTGAGTTAGCCAAAGGAAGTCAGAGTAAACTTTATAAGGATTGTCTTAAAACCAATTTTAAGAAATGTGGCATATCCGCTGCAAGCTGTGAGCAAAAGGCACAGGATAGCACATGCTGGCGGTCATTAAGGTATGTATCTACAGTTGCACTTGTATCAAGGCGAACCCAAGAGGCTAAAGACAAAAGGCACAGGATAGCACATGCTGGCGGTCATTAAGGTATGTATTTACAGTTGCACTTGTATCAAGGCGAACCCAAGAGGCTAAAGACAAAAGAGCATTGAGGAAACTCTACGACAACCGGTCCCAACCTCCTGCTGACTTACAGTGCCCAGGGCGTGGAAGAAAGTTCCGAGCAAAAATAAAACTATGTAGCTCATGGATGCCGAAATGACACAAAATAATTGGAAATTGCCTCTACTGTAATTTGCAGCCAAATATTAACACAATTAATGCCACCTATACTGTAACTCTTAGCTAAGTTTTTACATACTTTGTACCACTTATACCGTAACCCGTATCTTTATGTACTTAACTTATAACTATACCGTAATTCGTAGCGAAGTGTTTACACACGTAAAGTTTAAAGTATATAGCATGTGAAACTAATTGCTTACATGCATAGAGTATAGCCTATAGCGTAACTCGCAGGTTAATGTTTACACACTAAGGGTGTCACCTATATCATAACCCACAGCTAAGTGTTTATAAAGTTAGAGAATCGCCTATATCGCCGCCTGCAGCTAAGACTTGACGTATTTTGAGTACTCTGCGTGTAGTTAGTAAACTCTAGCAGTATGTCATTATTGATATCAAAGTTGAGATATCATTCTTTAATAGTTACAAACATATTTTGATCATTAACTTGTTCATTGTTAAACACACGGCATCACTGCATGGATCAAACTCCGAATTTATGTGTTATAAATTGGACTAAAGAGTTGGGAGGGGATCTTGAACAGATGTAGAAAGCATTTAGGGAAAAAATTCATGTGCATTCTGAACATGCATAAATTTCCTACAGAAAAGAAGGGCAACGGAGAGGAATAAGCCACTACAGTTTAGAAAAGATTTAAGAGATCGTATTAGGATAAATTCAAGAAATCTAAACTTACTGGAAATAATAAGGACTTGGGGGAGATATGCTGATTAATGAGGAAGTTAAAAGGGCAAAAACTGTACATGAAAGAGGGTTGTCTGAGAAAGTTAAATCGAACAATAAGGAATTATTTATGTATATGATGGATAAGCAAAATGTTAGGATGGGGATTGGGCTTCTTAAAAATGATAGTGGGGAGCTGATCTCGGAAGATTATGGGATGGTAAACTTATTAAATTATATGTTCTCTTCAGTTTTTACGAAGGAAGATACAAGTATTATGCCTCAACCAGAGCACTTAATGTATGGGGGAAAATATTTATGTACAAAATATCATTTTAAGTTCTGAAACTGTAAGAGAAAAGTTAGAGAACCTAAAAATTGATAAATCCCCTGGATAAGACAACTCTGACCCCAGAGTTTAAAGGAATATAAAGACTATTTGTGAACCCCTAGCTAATATTTTTTATTGGTCATTGAGTATGGGAAGAGTATTTGCTGATTAGAAGTTGGCTAATGTTAGTCCAATATTTAAAGGAGGTGATAAACATTGTCCAGGCAGTTATAGGCCAGTTAGTTTTACATCAGTAGTTGGAAAGGTTTTGTTTTGAAGAGTGTGATTAAAGATGCATTGCAGAGTCACTTAAAGCAATTTGATACAGTGTCAAAGAGCCAGCATGGTTTCACTAAGGGAAAGACTTGTTGAACAAATCTTCTGACATTCTTTGAGGATGTTACTGCAATAATTGATGAAGGAAATACTGTGGATTTGGTTTACCTTAATTTTCATAACGCGTTTGATCAGGTGCCTCGCAAAAAACTGTGGTTGTGGGGGAAATTGGTTGGAGAGTAGAAAGCAGAGAGTTTTAATGAATGGAGTTAGATCTGACTGGATAACAGTTAGAAGCGGTGTGCCTCAGGGCTCTGTGCTGGGTCCTCTGCTGTTTGTGATTTATATTAATGATATTGACTCTCGAACGACTAACAAAATATTGAAGTTTGCAGATGATATTAAGATTTTTGGGTAGGCTAACTGTATTAAAGAGCTACAGATTTACAGGGAGATTTAGATCATTTGATACAATGGGTAAATATTTGGCAGAAGATGTTTAACTATCCAAAATGTAAGGTGATGCATGTAGATTTTCACAATTCAAATTATTGTTACAGTTTAAATGGGAATACATTAAATATTGTAATTGAATAAAAAGATCTTGTTGTTGTGATCGAGAAATCACTCAAGTCATCTAAATAGTGTATTTTAGCTAGCAATAGAGTTAATGAGAGTTTAGGTAGCATCTATAGAAATATTGAATACAAGACAAATAATATCCTCACATAGATCACTTGTAAGGTCTCATTTAGAGTACTGTGTGTACAGTTTTGGGTACCCTTCCTCAAGAAAGACATTGAACTGTTGGAGAAGGTTCAGAGAGGAGCCACTAGGATGATACCTGTGAAGATGGGATTGTCCAATGAGGTGAGACTAAAATCTTCTAAACTTGTTTTCTCTGGAGAAGAGATTGCAACGCTAGAATTCGGGTTTCGATACTCGTGGTGGGCAGAGCACAGATAGCCCATTGTGTAGCTTTGTGCTTAACTTCAAAAACAACAACTGGAGAGGAGAAGGGTCAGAGGGGATTTGGTTGAGGTGTTTAAGATTATTAAGGGTATTGATAATATAGATCCATCAAACGTTTTTGTGTTTAGCAGCGAAAACAATAGGAAAAGGGGGCATAAATTCAAATTTTGGTATGTAGGAGTCATCTGCAGTTTAGACAGTATTACTTTTCAAACAGGGTGGTTGGCTTTTGGAATGATCTGCCTTCAAGAAAAGATTGGATGAATACATGAGTAGTAAGAGGTGGTTATATTTGGGATCTGGAAGGGACATCCTCGATGGGCTAATAAGCTTCTTTTTGTCCCTTTAAAACTTTATGAATTTATAAAATTCTCACACTTACCGCTTCGGCTATTAGTGGTTTCTTCTTCAGATTGGGTATGCCATACAAACTGCATTCGGATCAAGGCCTTACGAGGAAACAAGGTGTGGTTGTATAATCCCAGGAAGACCAAAGAGAAGTCTCCTAAGTTGTTTTCTCCATGGGAAGGCCCATATGACATAGTGGATCGTCTCTCAGACATGACTTTCCGAATAAAATGTGGTTGACGAGGTAAGCCAAAAGGTGGTGCATGCCAATAGGCTTGGGTGTTATCACGGCCCAGAACATTTCAGTTGGAACGAAA